CACGGCCTGTGGTGTTCATGGTCTGTGGTGTGTACGGCTTGTGGTGTCTAGTGCCTGTAGTGTGTGCGCTGCCTATGGTGTGCACTGCCTGTGGTGTGCGCTGCTTGTGGTGTGCACATCCTGTGGTGTGTACTGCCTGTGTCGTGTGTGATGGTTGGGGTGACAGTTGACCATACACCTGACCCTCATTTTCCTGAATCTGTGTTTATCCTGATCCTATTGTCATTAATGTTCTGTGTTTGTGTGTGCACGCGCTCAACATGTGTGCATGCATGTGCACTCACATGTGTGGGTACAGAAGCCAGAAGAAGGCTTCGGACCCCCTGGTTACAGGCAGTTGTGAGCTGTTGATGTGGGTGCTGGGAACTAAGCTGCAGGCCCTCTGTAAGAGCAGGAAGCCTCTTATCCACGGAGCCGGCTCTCCAGCCTGATTCCAGTCTTCTTAATGAAAAGCATAACTGGAAACTGGCTTCAATTTTTTTTCTCCATCAACTGTATCATGTTTCTCCCCACGGGGAATTTTATAATATAATGGTTCCCCTCACCCTGACACGGCCCCCTGCCAAGAACAAGACCTAGAGGCAGATACTCTGCCATTAAAATCCATTGCTCCTGATGTATTCAGCGATGTCATGCCAGCTGCCCCTTCGGTCTAGCTTGGTTTTAGCCGGAAAGCAGAGCCATGGTCACCACAGTGACCCAGTCAGACTCCCCGGCTGATCTGAGAAAAAGCTGACCCTAGATGGTGTTTGAGTTAGTCACTCCATGGTAGTCCTGAGCGGCATAGAGACTTGAGCCTGTCTGTGATGGTCGACAGGGTCTTGGAGGCACATTCCCTGGGTGGGACCCAGCCCCGGCACTGTGTGCTGAGCGTACAGGCAGTCGCTCAACCTTTCCGAGCCGTTTCCTTGTCTGCAGAATTGGATTAATAGTAGAGTTACATCACAGGGTTGTTGAGGCAGGCTTGAAAGACAGCTGGAGAAAGGTTTAGCCCAGTTTGGCTGGCTCAGGAAGAATGCAGGTATTTGTAGTCTGGAAGCTCACTGGATGTGGGGCAGGGCGCTTTAAGAAAAGAATTTAAAGTTGTAGATCACTATCAGGTAGAGAGGTGAGTGTGTAGACTATGAGAAGGGATAGCGTAGTAGGAAAAAAGGCCAAAGCCTCGGACACAACACTCAGAAAACAATAATAAAATGATTAAAACATTGGAAAAAGGATGAGTTGTGTGGAGCATCCTGATACACTTGCTGTATTTGACTGCAAATCAAAAAATATTTTTATTACTTTTAACTTACGTCCATGCATGTGTATGTGTCTGTGTGCACACGAGTCCAGGTGCCCTCAGAACCAGAGGTGTCGAATCTCTGGAGTTGCAGTGATTGTGGCCTGGTGGATCCTGGGAGCCAAACTGTCCTCTGGGAGAGCAGTGCACACTCTTTACTGCTGAACCTCTCTCCACCCCACCGCAGACTCCTCCATCTTGTCGGTGTCCTGACGCAGATATTCTAGGCCAGTGGTTCTCAACCGTCCTCATGCTATGGCTCTTTAATCCAGTTGCTCATGCTGTGGTGACCCCAACCATAAAATTATTTTCATTGCTACTTCATAACTAATTTTGCTACTGTTATGAATTGTAACGTAATTGTCTGTTTTCTGATGGCCTTAGGCGACCCCTGTGAAAGGGTCATTTGACCCCTAAAAGGGCCGTGACCCACAGGTTGAGAACTGCTGTTCTACTATCTTTTTCTTTTAAGTTATATTTATTTAGCGTGTTGGGGGTTGGGAGGGCACTCGTGTCATGCATTTGGTGGTCAGAGGACAACTTTCAGGTGTCATTTCTCTTTACCATATGAGACCCTGGGACCTGGGGATGGAACTCAATAGAGAAGTAAAAAAGAAAAAGAGAAATAAAACCAAAAGACAAATTAGTTCATTTGGTCTCCATCATAGTTCACGAGTGGTTGTTGTCCACTGCTTAGCACAGTGCAGAGTTGCTTTTGGCTCCTTAGTTTGTTGATAGCGGTGCCACATCTGGGATGGTCAGGTGGCTTCAGGCAGATCTCCTGAGAGTGTAACCCTTTATCCTTGGCACATAGGGAAGTAGGTTTGGATGCCACTTTGGGGAGGCACTAGAGGCCTGGCCTATTGTGAGCAGGAAGGGAGAAGGTGGGTCCTGGATGCTGTACAAGGTTCTGGGGCAGCTCCTTGCCACCTCCTACAGCCTCCAACAGCTGCCAGAGCTAGCCATGGATTCCTCCAGACTCTAGGGGATTGTTGCTACTCTAGAATCTTCTTGAGTTTTGTTCCTATCTGTGCTCCAATATGAGTAAAGCTCCGTCTTGTGAGAGTCCTGGAGGCCCGAGCTTCCTGTGTCCTGGTAAGTCAGCCTCTGTACTTCAGATACGTTGGTTGACCAAGGAGTCTGTCGTCCAATCATCCAGTCAGTCTAGGAAGAGCAAATGGACCGTGGCAGCAGGGTGAGCTCTTACGCCTAAGGGATGTGCCCTGGGACTGGTTTCTTGTCCAGGCCTGGGTGAGTGGGGAAAGCCTGGAGAAGATCAGTCCAAAGACTTCTTTATCCACTGTGAAACTCTGCCTCCCTCGGTCTTTGCAAAGGATGGGCCTTGGCCTCTTCTCCTGCCTGATCTTGGCAAATGCCTAATGCAGGCACCCATGAGAAGCAGTGGGGACGTTTGACTGCAGCCTTGCCCCAGATTGGGCAAAGTAGGGTTTCCCTCAGATTGCAATGGGGTCTTGGGCTCATTTCAGTTGTTCTGTGAGAGCTTTGTTATATGGGCCTGAGATTCCTGTCTCTGCATCCATGACTGGAACCTCTCTCCCTAAAGAACATTGTTATGGTTATGGCTGCCATACATGCTGATTGCCTGGCCCAATGAGGCTTGGTCCCACCTCTGTCCTTTGCAAAGCCCCAAGGAAGATGTTTGTGTCTCCATATTATACATGAGACAGAGCCTCGGGTTAAGCAACTTCCCCAGGGGATACATCTGGAACCTTGCTGGGCTCAGAGTCTCCACCTAATCTACTCCACTTAATCTACTTTTTACCTGTAGTGCTGAATTAACACTCTTGGTTAACTGAGGGCTTGGGGGAACCAGAGGATGCTATCTTAGGTTTAGGATTATACAGTGGTGAAATGTGAAGCTCCATCATGTGAGTGTGTGTGTGCATGTGTGTGCAGTCAATAGGCAATAATATTGTGTGTGTGTGT